GGGCATTTGTTTGTTTGTATGGGGGTTTTTGTTGGTTACTTGTTTTTTGGTTTTTTGGTTTTTTTGTGGTTTTTTTTTGTTTTGTTTTGTTTTGTTTTTGTTTTTTTTTTTTAATTTTTTTTGTTGTTATTGGTTTGATTTTTTTAAAGCAGAAAACTTGATAATGATCATAAATACACATTTTTGTTCTGGCGTGTGATTGCTCATGTCTATGCTACTGAGCCCCTTCAATTCTGGCTTAGTGTCCTGACATTATTTCATATCCATTTCAGGAGGCAGTCCTGTTGTTTCTTATGCCTGCTCAGTCTTTATTCTTTTATTTCTCTTGGAAGCCATTGAGATTCATTATCCCCATCTTTAATCTGAATATCAGGGCTGCAGAACCACATGAACATTAGGAGATGCGCCTGAAACAGTAAATTCTTAGACCTGAGTGGCGTGGGTTCATCCCCAGATTTCTTATAACATTATAGGAATATACCAATAAAAAAACTCAGGTCTGGCTCATACTCTTGGCAGACTCTGTGTTGTCTGTTCCAGGCATTTACTAGCAACTTGTAAGTGTTGAATAGATTACCAATGAACTGCTGGCCAAAGCACTGCTGCGCTGCATTTCCATGGCGAACATCTTGTCTGCGGAAACGTCTGGAGGGAAAAAAAGTGGAATTCTTTGAGAGAACACGTTTAGCTGACATACTGTTGGGTTATGCTAAAGTGGCATTAATTATAAACATAAGGAGTTAAGTCTCGCTTGCTATAAAAAATTAACATTGTTGTGAGAAGTAATAATTTATACATCAGCATTTTTTCTCTACTCAACCTACAGGGAATCACATGTCTGAAAAAAAAGAAACACATTCGTCTGGAGAAGAGGCACACCTATGTGTCCAGTTTATACTTAATTACATGGATGTCATAAATAACAAAACAGATCCCTTGAACCAACTGGAGAACATTCAGTCTTAGGGACCTTTAGCCTGTGTTTTGATTCTCTCTCTGGAAAACAAGGAAATTTTCATTTTTTAATTTAGAACAGTTTCCCATGTATGTGAATGGTAGTTCTTTTAACCTTCACTATTGTGTTATGCTTTTTTTTTCTCTTAGGAATCTCAAAGTAAAGAGAAAACACTTTATTACACCTTTGTAACAGACAGTTACTAAGCTCATTTTTCTCAACAGAGAAACAGAGAGATTCATGACTTGCCGGTGCCTAGAAAGTGAGCTAGTGGCAGAACTGTGGTCAGAACCTGGGAGCCCTGGTTTCCACCTGGAAATATTGCAAGTGCTTTTGAAAGAAGAATCAGTCTGAGTTTTGAGGTTTCTGGGGTTTATATGCATTTACAGAAAAAATGAAAACCATGATTATATGGTGCATTCCCAGAAGAATTGTGCTTTTATATGGCTTTTTTTTTAGCTCTGAGTGTCCTGATAAGTAAGATTAAGATTGCTTACTTGGGAAATAAAAGAGCCTATTGGAATGCTATACCTTGCCAGATGTAGTATGTTCTATAACCTGAAATTTAGTTTTACTAAGGATACCTTTCCTATATTTGCATAAAGAGTAATTCTACACTGCATTGCCAATGCCATACATAACAGATTTAGAGAAGAAATATGCAGTGCAGCAAATCTTACACAGCAGGCATGTGTACAGTATAAATTATAGATGCTAGAAACAAGCAAAGCCAAAGAGTTCTGTTATTCTCTGCATTTAATACTGAAATAATTTTTCTGTCTGGTGCTAAGTGAACACAAACAGAATTTTTATTTGGCACAAATAGAATTTGCTGGAACTGCATAGATTTACACTATTTAAAGATCTTGTCCATGGATGTTACTCATCACATTTCTAACCTGGCAGTAGACAGTGATTGTTATCCAAGTTCTGTCACCCATATGGAGTTCTGATCCAGGGGTGTCGGTGGACCAAGAGGACAGATTTAACCTTTACTGGTATTCAAAGAAGAACCAATGTTTTGCCATTGTTTTTTCAGGGGAACCTGCAAATTCAGTGGGGCTTTTTGAGGAGAGATGCTAAAAATACATGCATGTTATCAAACAAAAAAATGGAGATTTTGAGCTAGCAACTGGGCTTTATTATGGTCTGGGAGTTCTCATTACAATGTATGGATGCTGCAGCTATGCCTACTGATAACTCTGCAAAGTGTCAGTGCTGAATAATGTTGCCACAAGGTTTGCATGACTGTGTACAAAGATTGCTCAAAAGAGACACTGTCTTGCACAGATATACATAAACTCTATAGGATGTGCATTAGCCTTGAAAAAAAACAAACAAGAAAACGCTGCTGCTGTCAGGCCCAGCACCCCTATCTAGCAGGAACAGGACAGGTAGCAGACATGTTCTATTCTCTCTTAAGTTCCTTATGATCCTTGTAGAGCCAAAAAAATCCTAGTCTTGTAAAATGGGATTATTTCTCCATTCAAGGAAAAGAAATGTTTGTTTGATGGAATTTTGATGTTGTGAGTATGAAGACTAGGGGAAACACATTTACCAATGCCCTCACTTGCTATTTTCCTGAGGAGAAGGGAAAAATGGGATGAGGTGCTGAAAAAGCGGGCGATACTGGAAGATAAACTCATTTCATAAATACTGATACAAGCCTGGTATTTTTTTGTATTTTTTTCTTAGAAATTATTTTATTCAGAATTCTGTGAAAAACAGAGTACCCGGCAATCCCTGAGATAATCTACTATAAGCAATGTTCAGTGATTAGAAAATGTGCTGAATGTATTTAAGTGCCTTTTGCAATATATAACTTTATGAATTTAGACTTCAGTCTGTAACTCTGTGCTTTCAGGAACTTAGCAAAAATGGTCTGCAAGAAAGCAATACAAGCATTATCATCATGATCATTATTTTTATGATTCTTTATTATTTCCCAGGAATGGGTGTTGAAAAGTCTTGAGGGGAAAAGGCACCACTGCAGTTTGCATAAGTAAATCAGCAGACTGTATGCTTGCTGGTGGAGTGATTGATGTAGAAACAGACCAGAGAGGGAGAAGAGGCAGGGGAGTGACTGTCAGCTTCTAAAAATTAGCTAAAGAATCACACTAGATCCAAGCTCAAAGACAATTTTTAAATTACTTCAGCCCTTTTTCAGCCTGGACAGTGAGCTGAAAGAGCAAAGAATCTCACTTGCAGAATTTAGTACTTGTCTAGAAAAATATTGAACCTGTGTAAATCAGATTGCAGAGGTAATTGTGAACTAAAGCATTTCTGGACCTACACTTTCTCAAGTGCACTTCATGAAATTTGAATGCAATAGAAATTCCTTCTGGCATCTGAAGTATTTTCAGTATTCAGGAACCATACATCTGTGATTACCATGGAACTGTAGTGTGCTGTGCTCCCAGGATCAAGATATGGGATTTGGACTCAGTTTTTGTCTTTAATTAAATCCTACATTTAATTAATTATCCAGGCTATGCATGTACAAGGATTTATAAGAAAGACTTCCATGATTTGAAAAATTAGTACCAGATGTCAAGCAGAGGGTTTTTCTATTTATGCTTCACTTCTCTTTAAATCCTTTACACGCCTTAGTTTACAGATTTCTATTTAATGTTTCTCTAAACACTTGTTATACCTTGGAGGCCTTAGGATCTAAAGCAGATAACACTTGAATCAAAGTGGGGAGGACACACTGTACATCCCTGCCCCAGCTCAACTCTTCAACAATAGGACTGGAATTAAAAAGAGAGCTCTGAGCAGTGCTCTTACTCACCAGCAGCACTGCTCTTACAAGTCGAAAGTCCACCTAAATATACAGTATGAGGGTCACATTTGAGCAGATAAAGGTGGTATTAAGGCCAGCTCAAGTGTGTTGTAACATAAGGCACTGCTCCATGAGTCCAAATGATGAGAGGGATGTCAGGAACAGGTGAAACCAGTGCTCTCCAATGCCCTTTGCACTCACATTACCTATGCTACCACGTACAGCTTGAGCAGGAATCTGGAGTCCTGGACAAGACCAGATTAAGATATGAATGCTCTGCGATGTGGCATTAATTCTGTTTGGAGTCCAAAAAAGCCATGGCAGGGTTATCAGCTTGGAGTCCACTTGAGATCAGAAAACTCCAAGTCTACCACGACCTGCCTTTTCCAGCAGTGCTCCTCACCTTGCACCTGATGGGAAGCAACTTAAAGCAAGTTCCCAACATGTCCCAAGTAGCTCTCCTGTCTCTCCACCCATGTACCACGAAGTTAGTGTAAGCTCTTAAATTTGAAATGCTCTGAGCTTCAGCTATGAGCTAAAGTGAGCAAAGCAAATGCCATCCGTACCTCTCAACATTGTTAGTCTTGCTGGCTGTTCCCCAAACTCTTACATGTAAAACAAGTTTTGCAGACTTCAAGAACATTCAATTGAATGCAAATCCCTTCTCCACACTGCAGTGCTTATCTCAAGAGAAGGAGGGTGATAGCAGCAGCATTTTCTTCTTTTAGAGACTGACCTGCTGAATGTCGGGGGCACAAGGCACAGGAAGGTGCCTGGAGTGCTGCCCATATCACTCAGCCCTGGATAAATGTGTGTGTCAGGGGACTTAAAGGCTGCTACTCTGGAAATTGTCTTACACGAAAAATATGCTAAACATGTACAACAGAGTTCAGGGCTGAGTGAGTTTCTCTTATCTTTTCTTGGACAATAAGTAGCCTGTAGAACAACATAAATGGTGATGCTGTTAGCAGGCTAGCAGGCTGCTGGGAGATTTTTAAAGCCTTCCCTTCCTCAAATGAATTTTACATCATTAGATGAGTAACCCATATGCTTTATAATTATGATAATTCAATTTCTACTCATACTGTAGCACATTAATCTACCCGTCCTGCTATATAACTGCTCATATTTCTTATCTAGGTCCTGAAAATTTTAACCAGACTCATCTCACACTAAGCAGACAGCTGGAGCCCACTACTTCCCTTTAGATCTACTTGCAAGAGGCATGAGAAGACTATGCAATCCTGCTTGTAAAAGTGGTGTAGGTTTCCTACTTGGTTTAACCTATGTCTTAGTGTAGTAAATACAAGAGATTCTTAATTATGCTGAGTCATAGACTGTGTTTCTCATTTTTACTTTTTAATGTGCCTTATCCAAAAAGTCATGTTACCCAAGGTAACATGACTTTATTAATTATATTCTAGAAAAATCTACAGAAATGTGTGTTGGGCCTGGTTACTGTCAGCCTGCATTTGTTTGAGTGCATCCAGATTCATAAAGATGTGCAGGATCAAAAAAAGAAAAAATACAAAGACATACCTTCCTGGTTTTCCTTAGGAAACACTAACATATTAGGGATACTACTGAATAACCTCCACTAGTTTTCAAACTCTCTGTGGAAGTTACTCAGGTCATTGTAATCCTTGCAGTCCTTCCAGGTCTAATTTATACTTAAGCATATATTTGCTGCACGAGTAATTCCAAAAAAAGCCACAGAAAGAATTTTTCTTTCTCAGGTTAGAAATTACTCTCTTTAGGTGGCAGAGATGACTAAGTTTTGTAAAATGGTCTGGATTAAAACATGAATGTTCTAGCAGCTTGATTCGGGTAGCTGAATTGCAGAGCCTGGGTTTTAGAGGGAAGAAGAGAGGGAAATGACTGCAGGAAAGAATGAAGGCCAAGAACCATGAATAAATGAATGGTGATAGAGAGGGATAGTCTCCCCAAGGGAAGAATTAAAGCACCTAAATGATGTTTGTGCTTTGAACTGCCTCTAGAGTAACCTGCCTTTCAATTCACTGCGAAAAGCCTAACCCGAACATTTTACAGGAAGTTTCTGCAAAGCTTTTGCAGGAACTCTGTTTTGATATGGCTGGTGAAGGTATTTGACTACTAACACAGATTCTTTACTTTTTTTTTTTTTTTTTAGAAATTCTATTATATATGTTATTACAGTGTTATATACTCACTGTATAATACTACCAAAGCAAGTCTCTCATGTTGTAAAGTGTCTTTTCTCTGCATATGAAAAGATGTATAAGGAAATAAGAGTTTGTTTACAATGTAATGTAAATAATTCCTAAGTAACTTAGCTTTATTCACAAAAATATTCCTGTGCATTTGGCTACTTGCAATCCCCTAAGGTTATGCTAATAAATCAGCAGCTGACATCTCACTGTTCAGTTATTTGTATGAGGGGGAGATATGAAGCACTTTCTGTTGCAGTAAGAACCGTTTATGCAGATATTTTGCAAAAAGCCTGTCAGAAAAAGCAGCAGGTCTCACCTCTTTGCCTGCACTCCTGTGGGATAGTAGCGGGAGCAGGAGATCCCATCCCAGGCGCAGTAGGGATCCCGGGCGAGGCAGCAGTCAGCGCAGGCCGTGCCATACATGTCACACTGGTGGAACTTCACCTGTGCTATGACTGACTCGGAGCCAACATAGAGCTGTTGCTGTAAAAAAATACACAATATAAAATTAAATTCCAGAATTTCCACTAAAACTTGTGTTACCAATGCAGTTATTAAAAAATGTTAGATTTATCGTTGCTTGCCAGTTGCACACCCAGCCTGTGCCCTGAGGGAGGCACAGTTACTCTGTAGAAGAATATCTAATTACAGATTAAAGTCTCCTACATGAGAACAGAGAAAAAGAAAGAACGTAAAGTGAACAAGTTTGTTTTGGCATTTCCTCGCTTCTGAACTTTCAGCTTTGTAAGCTTTGTGTTTGAATAGGCAGGGGTTTACGTTTCTTTCTCTTCCTCAAGATATTTTCCGATGCCTCCCTCTTCACTTCTCTGTCATCTAATTAATCTGCAAAAAATCTCCTAATATAAAAGACTTTAAACAAAGAATTTCAAATATGCATGAGTTAAAAGCAAGCTCAATTTTAAAATGGGAGTTTTCAAGTAAATTTAACTCTTGATGCGGCTACTTAAAATATGGCCACACATTTCCATGAACAGTAGTAGAGAGATTTCTATTTTTTTTCCCATTGTGCAGTCTTTTCTTACAAATTAGCCAGTCACTATCTACGTCTTCAATGTTTATTTGTAAGGTTTGGGATTTTTTTCAGCATTAGTACTAATGAAACTTCTGAGTTCACATAAATGTCCTTTTCAAATCAAATGATTTGAATATCAAATATTACTTCAGATCAAAATATTACTTCAGATGCTGGCACAATCAGTTCAGAAAAGAATAGATTGAATTTACAGGAGTTTGAGAAAAAGTTGTCTTATCAATGAAGGTAAATTGCCTGAACACAGAAATATGCATTGCTCACTGCAATACAAACTGCTTATGAACAGCCCACTTCCACAGTTTTACCAGTCAGAAAAGGGGTTCCTAAACTGTGCTTATCCTAATGGCCGAACTTAGTCCATAATTCCCACTCTTTGACCAAGCTTTCAAAATCTGTTATTTTAAAATTACTTAACCTTGGAATATATAGACAGCTCATTTAAGCTATCGCAAAACACAAATTTTAATACAGATAGTTCATTCTTGTTCCTAATTACACCTCTTATATTGTTTAGATCACAGAAATTTAACATTCAGAGATGATAGGGGAAGAAACTAGGAGAGGCTGGTAGCAGCAATGCTTGAAGAATTTTTCTGCTGAGATAAACCAGATGATAGTATCAGGAACTCAGTGTCCCTACTGGAATGAAGAAGAAACCTAGGATACTTGTTTTAGGGGGATTCTTTGTCTGCAAAGGCTGCATTGTGATTGTCCCAGAAGACATGAACAACACTTTTAACGAGACACATGAGATGGGATTTTCTCTTTCATCTTTTAACAGGGGTAAAGGTGTCTCTAAGTCTTGGTTCACTGGAGGAGGGCAGAAAAGCAGCTGATATCTAGCCAACCGAACATCAAAGAAGAACATTCTTTCCCAGTTTCTGCAGATAAATAGCTCAGCCTTGAAATATGATATTTTATTGTACTATGACTTGGAGAAGACTGGTCAGTGTTATAAGGATATTGAGGCATAGCCAGCAAGGAGATCTCCTCAGGCTCAGTCACTCCAAGGTCAAAGGAGACCAGCCAAAACTCTCAAGGTACATCAATTTTTTCACATATACTCAGCTAAGTTACATTTCTGCTGATTTTAAAGACAAAATGACTTGGTGCCAGCCCTGTCCCTAACATGTATTCCAACATTCAATTATCCTCAGTATTAGATAACTGTATTCCATTTTAAGAATAAGTTTATCTACATTCAGCAAGCTGAACTTGGCTATTAAATCTTCTATTGTTTTACTATCAATGTTCCAGAATCCCCATACACACAGTCAGAAGCCACTTCACATGGTAAAATACATGTATGACTCTCCTATTCTCCCTCACTTTTTCTCTTTGATATCTTGAAAAAGTTAATCTACTTTTACTCCTCATAAGAATTTTTGTTCTTCAACCACTGGATTGCTTTGGTGGCTTTCTTACAATTCTCTCCAGATTTTCCAGATATATCTTGAATTAGTGGAGATATCAGCCTCCTTGGAAGACTGATGTAGTGGAAGAAAGCTACTTCAATTTTTTTTATAAAATATCTCCTTTTTACTCTTCCAACATAATCCTTTTACCATGACAATTGACTGAGAGTTAAAGGCAAGACAACTATCTGAAATGATGCAGAGTCTTTCTCCAAGTGATCATTCAGGTGCAGTGTTAGACACTCTAGTCTCCAGAGCTGCTCTCACAGTCCATGGAAAACAATGATGCAGGAAATAATTCAGAATACTTAGACCCAAGATTCTCTCCTGAATCATCACCAGAGGATTTTGTCTTTCTGCATTACCTACAGGGAGAATACAAGTTGGCTAGGCACCAAGACTGAAATAATCTTTTGGGGCAGACTCACACCTCCTATTAATGCAATATTCATCCTTTGTTACTTGTGTTTCACTATGTGTATATGCACCCATATTACACGGGATGTCTAACATTGAGATATAACTATCCTCTGGTGTTTATTATGGCTTCATGCTGAGATGATACAGTGATATAGCATGGATAAGAATCTAGCCACAAGAGTAGTAAACTGGCTGTTTATTTTAGCAGAAATTAGCGGAAACTCTAAAGGGGCTCAGATCCAAATAGCCCTACCAGGCAACTGACTTTATGGGAGACCCATCAAGGCTCTTTTTGCACTGACATCCCTATGGGCCAAAATCTGTCTGCATTTGTCAGCAAGGAACTTTTCCGTGAGTTGCCATATTCACCAAGATAGTCCCTACTGTGATTACTATGAAAGTAACTCATGAAATAAATTGAGTTTTATGTGCTTTGATATGCATGATAGTGTGAACTAAGGATATTTAACTTTAGAAATTAAAAACAAAAGTGCTTTATAAAGGAGCAGAGTACATAACCATAAGTTTATGTTACAGGATTATATATATCCAACTAGAACTCATTATAGATGGTGTACATCCAGCTATCTATGCATCGAATTCTATACCATTTACAGCTTCATTACATTTGAGTCACAATTTTCACATTTCAAACTTGTCAAATACTTACTCTTTTTGAAGAGATTTCCATAGAAATAATAGGAACTGGCATCTAAAAAATAGGAAATATTTACTTGCTTAGAAAAAAGAATGTATTTTTGCTGTGACAATAAATTAGGTAAAATAGCATTGATATTTACTTATTGCATTCAGCTTTGCAAGATTCTTTTACTTTCTTTAAGGAAAGTGTGAGGAAATAATGACTTCCAGAAGTATTCCTTTAAAAGAGTTTATTTAAAAACAACCAGCCAACACTTAATTCAGGATTATCAGAGCTACAGGAACACTACAATTTCCCTGTCAAACATGACATTAACTCTTGCCACCACTGAATCTCTTTTGTCCTACTTGAGAGTGATAAGTGGAGTGTTCTTTATAACAAAACATTCACTGAAGATAAGATAAAAATAGCAGGAATTCCTTCTTTTACCATTGTCCTCTCTGCCCTTTGCTCAGATTTCCTGGAGCAAGACATAGTCCCTAATAGGCCTGTTGAAAACAAACTTTATCAAGAGGGGCAAATTCTGTGATTTTGCCTCTGCCCCAGGAAATGAGTGAATAGTTACTCTGCCTAAATGCAGGTAGCAGATTTAAATGTTTAGCTTTGATTTTCCCTATAGTTTGAAGTAGCTTAGTCTCTTGCTTTATGTGGCTTTGTGACATGATGTGAATACTCACTAAGAGAATTTCTTTGTATTAGCTTTGCCACACACCAAATGCTGAGCTTTAATCAAGTTCTTCCTAAGCAGAATGGAGTTTTGCCTCACTAGTGATTCAGTCTTTCTGAGGATTGGGCTATTTCTATTTGGACCTCATTTAAATTTCCAAGGTTTTAGCAGGCACATTTTCATGTGTGCAGTTATCCTCTTTTAATTACTTAATTGGATATCAGGAAAAAATAAACAAAATGCAATAAGTTTCTAATTAGAAGTCACACTATGACCTCCAAGTACGTAAACAGAAAGGCAGTAGTCCTGATTTGCTTCAATATATTTCAGTACTTGGGCCATAACTCCACACAGAAAGACTTCAGTTGAAAATGAAGATTTCTTGTCATATAATAACTAGATAACTGGACACAGCTATTATATATTTGACTACCTTCAGATTTTTTATATATTTTAATTCTGCAGAAAATTCAGGACTTTTATAAACACTTCATATGCATCACAGTTCACCTTGAATACTTGCAGCTCTTCAAGAATCACTTCTTCCATTGATTCTGTCTCTTGATTGTAAATTGTTATGACTTTCAGCACAATGCCATTATCTGGAAATAAATTTAAAAAAAAAAATCAAAACACACCAAAAAGTTAAAATTGGAACATTTATATGCCCTTCAAATACCTTAAATGACTTCAAATTGTTAATGGAAAGAAATTTTTAAATATGTACAGATAGTTGCATTTTGTTGTGATTAATGAGGATTCTTACTCTGGGAAAATAAAATAAAAAAATTTTAAAAAAATTAAAATTTGTCCCTGGAAAATAAGAGTCAACTGAAACATTCCTAGGATACATGATTAACTATATTTTTCAAATGCTGGGTCATAACCCCTTGGTGAACTGCAAAAGGATCACAGAAAATGACCGTATTTCAGAAAAAGAAATGGGAGTAGGCAGAAACTGAATCCATGGAGCCCATCCGAGTCCATTGAGGCAAGCAAGTGTAAAGTAACTGTAATTATAGGATCTGACTGTTTACACTAGATAGGAAACTATTAATGACCTTAATTGCTGGCAGCAGCTCTGTTCCTCCAGGCAAGAGTAGGAAAACCTTCAGGGGTTCATTGTGCACTGTACTCACCCTCCTCTAGGAAAACACTGAGCTGCTGTTGAGCTGAAGGTGTTGGTCAAAGGAAGATGAACTAAAACATCAAAAAGACTAAGGCACGATGGACTTTAGATTTATCAACCTCTCTGTCCCTGCAACTCTCGCAGGAAATTAAAACACACAAATAGCATCTGGTCTTCCACTACTTCAGTTTTGCCTTGCTGGCTATTAATAGAATAGTCTTCCACTCCTTAATCTGAAAATCTGTCATCAGCAATGGCAGATATCACTTCCTTTCTTCTTTTACTTTCAGTCGCCTTTGATTTACAGGGGAAATATTAAGCAGGCAAGCACTGGGAAAAATGTTCAGCAAAAGATCAAAGGGGCAAACAAAGAGAGGAACCATTAAACTGGGGTCATACACCATTTCTCAAAGAGAATATGTAATCAAAGACATCAATTTTGTGATGGAACAGTAAAAGAAATTGTATTCTGAGATCTGATTTTCATAAGCAAGTCTCTTTTTAAATCCTGCTGACAGATATGTGAAAGCTCTGATGTTCGGACTTCTCCTTTGGTGAACCTTTCTAACCTGCACTGCTACCCTAAGGAAACTTTGCTCAGCTCTAAGACATTGCTTAAATATGTTACACAGCAGGTTGGATTTGGATTAAGAAAAATATTAACCCTTTCTAACATCATATTGCCCAAAAAAGCAGTGAGTTTTCTGATGGGAACCTTGTCAGAGCAGAGATTGCAGGTTTCATTTCAGAGTGTTCGAAATCCAAATTCTTTTGCTGGAATTTCTTCTCATCTGAGATCAGACAGCAAAACGCTTAAGCCCCTTTGGATTTAACTTTGCTAAACAGAGGTCTTATGTACAAGAACATTTTAAACAATCTCAATCAGAAATGCAAGCAGAAAATATGAAAAATGGAGGCCACCTTATAAAATATGCTCTACAGAAATAAGTGACACATGGTGTTTTATAGACCGCAGTAAGTTCAATAACAAGACCATACTGAGACTTAGAAAAGAACTCTAGGATAAATAAGCCTTTGCTATTCTACAAGCATACTTTTTTTGAACGTTCTCAACACTAAAATGTGCTTATCAGAGGAATTTCATCAGTAAAAAAATAATTCACTGTAACTGCTTTCCTAGACAAAATGGTCAAAATGATTTGTGAAACCACTCTTGTTGTTAAATTGATTAAATGTGAATGTAAGAATCCTTGGATTTTTTCCAGACAGATTAGATGTGACTAAAATCTTGCCTAGTTCCAGCCTTCCCTCTTATTTTCTTAAGTTTTCTTATTTTTCAGATACCATTAGGTTATCTATTTTTTCTCAGCTTTCTTAGACTTAGTCTATATTATATTTTGCCTTAGTCATGTTTGTTTGGAAGATGTTTAAAAATCTCTTTAAACAAGCTCTCTATGTTAAGAAAATGGCACAAAAGGAAGACAAGAAAGCTTGTCAGGAAACTTCTAACAGTTTAAAAAAAAAAAAAACTTAGACATTTCCTTCTTCCTTCCTTGAGCTGTGTTGTAACCCCAACTCTGGAAGCTGGCAGTTTCTTTTTAATGGTATCAGCTAGACTTGTGGTCTCCAGAACTGAGGAAAATAAACTGTGGAATAAAGCCAGTAACTTGAGCTGATATTTTTGAGAATCATATCACCTTTGTTTTTCTCAAGCCTCCAGGTCTCAGCTCAGATCTATGCTCAGATACAGGATTGTGTTCTGAAGTTTAAAATATAAGGCCAGTTGTTCTGCAATTTAATTTAAGGTTCTTGTTGGAAAAGGAAAGAAATTAAAATGAAATCCTGTACTTAGGATTCTCTTCCTAGTCTTTAAATGTTTCCCTACCATTATTTTCCTATGTAATGTTATCATCACAGTGAAGCACAGGTCTACAATGACTGCTATCCTCTGTAAGGTGAAGACTGGAACAGTTGTGCAAAGAAAGATTGATAAAAAGGAATGTCATATAGACTTCCTTCATCCTAGAGACAAAAGAAAATTTATTACATTTTCTTTCTTGCTTTCTTTAATTACCTGTGCCAATGAACAGGACATCATATTGCCCATCTTCAGCTTCCACTCTGTCCACTGCTAGTTGTTTAAGATTATACTTTCCATCTGTTTTAACCAGTATTGGTCTCTTATGAACAGGCCTGATGGGCTGATACATTAGTGGATGAGTCCTGGCAAAATGGACAGCTTCATCAGGATAGTCTTTAGTGGTAGTGTACAGACCTCCATTCACCTTGCTGGCACACTGCAAAAACAGAAAACAGATTTTCCTGAAGGTTTGCCAAATAAATTGTTAGAAACAGGTCTTGTTTTCAGGGGTGAAGACAAGTCTACAGAAAACCTGTCCTATAAACGAGCACAGAAGACCACAATAGGAATTGGGACAGTGAACTCTAAGCATGTGCAGATTATTAATCATGAAAAGAAAGGGAATGTTGAACAGAGCCTTGGCATCGTCATATTTAGAAAGAGGGAGTTCCTCCCTCTTTGGCATGCTGAGAGAAGAATAAATAGTAGCACGTCTAGATTTTGACGAAAGCCATAGTGCTTATGTCTTCCCCAAATTCATACTGAAGATGTAATCAAAATGGCCATTGACAGAGTTAAGAGAAAGGGGTTTCCTGTCCCAGCAGAGACACAGCCATGCAGAGTCAGCAGAACACTAATACTTGAAATCAATCTCTAGTCTCATTACTTTTTGACTGCAAAACATATTACCATAAGAAACTAAGGAGACTTAAAAATTATGCCAGCAGCAACAGTAATTCTTGATTTCAGGCATTCTAACAGTATTATGTTTGATTCTAATTCCTAACTCACAATGCCAGTATTATATATCACAGTTTAGCTTCAAATACTAATGTTTGCATTGATCAATCTATCAGTTTGCAAAGCAAATAAACTTTACATCAATGACTGATTAAAAGAAGCTTACTCCTTCAGTCAAATGTGCAATTAGGGATAATTTAAAGCATTAAAGAGAGAAGTTAATTTTAGGATGCTTTGTGAAGGAGATAGTGTTTCCCAGCTGAACACAGATTCTACATTTCCAATTTGCTTCATGATGTCTAATTGAAACCATTTATGATCAAGCTGGAAATATCTCAGTAACCATTTACTTTCTCCAAATATTCATAGACAGTGTGGTTTAAGAAACATTTCAAGCAAAGCCACAGTAGCAGCCTTTCCCTATTTAAATTGGATTTTTAAATCAATAAAATGAAACAAAATACCCTTTACGTTTACTGGAAACAGTAATTTTAAACTTGTGGTCAACTATAATTGACAATAACAAACTCCTGCACTTGTCAAGCAGTGCAACGTTTGTTTCCACTTTCTGGGCTTAGCTACAGGAAAGTATTTGTTCAGTGTTGACTTAAAAGTAATTGTCTAATCAACCTAATGATGGAATTTCACTGGCTGTTTGCAATAAGGAAACAGAGCTGGAGCATGAAGACAGGCTAAGCCTCTACTTCTCATGCACTGCACAGCATATCAAGTGAATAGTCATTGCCAGGTTCCCTTTACAGAGTTCTAGCCCTGGAGAGATTTAATAAAAATAATCCTTCACAGGCTTTTCATTTTTAATTAAATAAAATCAAGTAGTCTAGAAAGGAAACAGTAGATGCAGCTGTCCCTGAAGTCTATCAACACCACCTTTGATTTTACTGATGTCAGTTCCAGAAGCAGTACAGCCTAAATGAACTAAAAGAATAAGCAAAACAGGGGCAGAGATTATGGCAGAAGTAGTGCGGCGGATTTCAGAGCCAGTCAGAATCTGCATGACTCTTAACAATGGTTTTCTGCTTATTTAGCTTTAAGCCCTACTCTCATTCCTTATAGTCTTATTCTTTACTCATTCAATACCTAAGATCAAAGAGTGCTGACTCTCAGAGATGCCTAATAGTAGGTTATTTTTGGGCTCTTGTCGCTGACATTCCTGAAACGGGAAAGGTACTGAGATTGAGTTTACCAGTATGCTGAGCTTTTCTTTGGAGTTTGAAACCTAACACTTGGCTACAGTCTGACACATGCTTTCTCTTCCTGCTTTTGGAAAAACATTGAAAAGACCTCTAAACTGTGCCTTAAATGAGTAGCCAAAAATGAATCAATTAATGCTTTGTTAGCTGGCAGAACCAGCTACTTCAGCCTCTGATATGCTCTGCAACATATAGAGAAAAACACGATTAAATCTATTAACATCCCCGAAGGACCTGGTTCCTTATCCAATTTGTTCCATGATATGGGGAAAATTACTTGCACTTCTACTCCTTTTTCAGCTCCTACGCCTTGCCTTTTGGGGAGGTGACAATCCAGTCTGACCCAAAGGTGTCCAAGGGAGAGAAGCTTTGAAAGTGAATGGAACTTAGAGCAGTGTTTCTGTAAATCATTGTCAAATTTGCTGAAGTGCTGACTCAGTGTTCTCTCCTTCTTGCCAAAACCCCACCATTTAATCTTCAGGGCTAGGAGATATCAATGTAATAACTGCAGTCATTAATACTGAATTCATGCCTGTGTTTAATGCTAGTCCAGATAACATATGTGAGGCGTTCTACTGCCTGGAAAAAATGAACACCACTTAAAGAACTTGGACTGTATCATCATTGTAAAATATACAACCATTATGCAATCCATGCATGGTACATGCAAAAAATATAAATTTGTTATACCAAAACTCAAATAGGAAACCAATAATTCCTTTGAATTCAACCATTTTTCTCCAAATGTAATAATTTATTTATCTATTTTTCTATCCTGACTCAATACCAGTGACTTTGAACAATACAAACCAAAAAATTACTTGGTATTTATGTCAGCACTTGCTACAGTGGTATCTCATTGGCCAAGATGGTCAAATCATATTCACAATGTTTAAATCTCAGATAATCTCTTTTTTGGAGCACCTGATTCAACAATTTGACTTATGTCTCAAACCCCAAGAGAAGCAGAGGAAAACATGAATTTAAAATGATTAATTTAAAAAGAGAAAGGACATGCATTTGAAATCGCACTACAAGGAGAAAGGCTGTACTGGCACAGAGTAGGTAAGTTTATAGGCCTTTTCACCTCTCATTACTGAGATTCAGTGATAAATTAATTGTATGCAATGCTTATTACTGAAAATGATTGTGTTCAGTATAAAAGAGAATATTGAGTCAGCAGAAAGTAATGCTCCATCAACTGTTTATTCTCCCTTTAAGCTCAAGAGAGTGAGCCCCCAGCCTGGGAGAAGATTAAGAGGTGAAGTTTGAAAACTGGAGGGGATTTAGCCAAACAGCTGTTGGAAATGTCTTTGCATCTCAGAGAGCCAGAAATCCACCCAATGCTGACACGATAGGGGGTGGAGCTTCATGGGTGTTAACAAAAGCAGCTTTGCAACAGATGACAATTGCCATGGGTGGGTAAGTAGCTGTAATCCCAAAAGGTACAGGGCAAGGAAGAAATCCTGGATGTGATGCTTCCCTGAGTTAGCCTGGCATTGCCTGCTGTGGGGCTCCTCCTGACTGGCAGAAGGAAGGGGAAAGTGAGGGAGGCCCTGGCTCTGCCTCTTCTGTGAGATGGTGATGGGCCCCTGAAAAGCGAAGGGCACCCTCAAGCTGCACCAATAGGCAGAGAAGGAGGAGATGTGAGAGCCCTGGGACAGAAACTTCAGGAAAAGGGTTTGAGGTGAAGATTATTTGTGATGCCTTTGTGAAATCAACACATGAATTAAGAACGCTTTGTAGAAATTAATTACCTGCCTCTAAGTAATGAGTTTGTGATTTCCTCTAGAAATCTAAATGCCAGGCAGGAACAACTCTCTATATGACAGCACCTCCAAAGTTACAGAGTGTGCTACAAAGATTAATCATGTTTTCAAAATATGTTTTTTCTTTCCTTCATTTAATGTTCATTGGGGGAAAAAATGTTTATAAAGAAACTTGTGTAAAAATTAACAAAAAAAAAGTATTGTTTTGCTGAGTTTGGTTGTTTGCAATCTTGTTTTAGTATTTCTGTATTCTTTTTAAAGGATGCAGAACAAAAATGTTGATAAGCCTGGAAACTCAAGGGCAAGCTTAAGATGATGAGCTTAAGGGTAGTAAAATCTCACTCTGTGCTGTCTGAAAGCAAACCAATGAATTACAAGGGTGACAGACCATGGTTTCTAGAAAGAACCAGTCTTGAGAGAAGGACCTTGAATAATGGAGAATTTGCTCCCCATCTACGAAAGCATTTATTCTGATTAGTTACTTTTATTAAAATTTATGTCTCATTTCTAACCTGTGCATTGATTTCAATTATAGAAGTATTCCAATTTGGTCTTTTTTGAAAAAGAGGTGGAAAAACCAAACCAGAACCACCTCACCTTGAAATAATGGATTCCTCTTGTGGTTTTTGTTTTTTTCCTTCCTTTAATGCTTGTTAAATGTTCTGATTTCATCAGGCAAAACAAAGAAGATGAGGTTCCTTCACAGGTAACACAAACTGTTTCTCAATGCAGCATCTGGCCCACCTTCTAGAGATGCCGCTTTCTATCCCTGGGGTCCTAACTTTGGAATCTTATGACTTTCACACAAGGTTGATAAATTAAAGTCCCAAGAGGATTTTGAAAAACCTTATATACTTAATCCCACTATTTGCCTTTTGGAAATGTATAGGTCTAGTACTTGATTAACTTATCACTGAGCCATTCCACACTTTTCCAGAAATGCGGAGTACTCAAGGAAATATACTCTGGACTGTGAAGTCAGGAAGATTTGTGTATTAGCAGCAGTCTACGTTTTCTTTTCAGTTTCATTTACATAGCAAAGCAAGGGAAAATAGATTGTACTTACTGAACCAGGTCTAGGATAAGGTACTTTTCTTTCGTAGAGAGCCCAGTGGTATTCAGGTCCTTCTTTATGAGCGTACGGTCCATTGAAAGCCGCTCGGACACTTGCCATGTGGTAAACACATATAGCATAGCCTCTGAATATATTGCTAGGAAGTGAAATTTAAAGACATTATTAAAGCCATATCTCCCACTCAGTATATATAATACTGGTTTTATTGTGCAATTAAAATAAGTCACATTTCAACAGTATTCAGGGAGAAAATACTACTTAATTCATTCCTATATGATTTTTTTCTAATTACTGTGTCCAATGTTCTTTAAATGTCTTTAATGTGTTTATGTTTATAACATTTTCCAAGGAAGCTCTGTGTTGTTATGCCAAAATTTGATGATGGTGAACACAATCTCTAAATTACTTGTTTAGAAACACAGAGGAAGCACAGTGAACTGAACTCAGGTTTTATATGTCTTTGATTAGTTACTTAAACAGTTTACCATTTTTCTTCTCTAACATTTTTCCTATTATTTTTGCTTGGAAAGGTGGAAATCAACCAATGCTGACTAAAATAAACAGTGACTAAAATGAGTCCTTTTTTGGGACTGTTGGTTGATGTTATTAGTTAGATCAGAAAATCACTCTATGTAGGTCAATCCACATAAAAGTTTCTATTTTACTTTTAAATTTTATTCACTTATTTCCAGAGAAGCAATTGATTTTTTTTTTTAAAGAAGCATCAGTGCTCTCTACAAAGGAACTATTTCTGAAAACCTCACAAGGTGATCGAAATAATTTTAATTGGGTGTCCACTTTTCTCTACTGACATTGGGAGCCAGTAGGAAATGCCAGGTGTCTGCATCCCTAGAGGAGCAGATCTCACTGTCTTTATTAGAAAAAAATAAATCAAGAGATAGTAGCCAAAGCACAGCTGGTCTTTTCTACCAGTACATCCTAAACTAACAGTTGGATTTCCAAGATGAGAGAGCTACATGCTTACACTTGAACTAGGCTGCAGTGGAAAAGGAAGAGGAGGCCACCAGCAACATCACAGCCAGTGCTTTAGACTTCACTAAGAAGTCAGTAGTAATTTAAGCTGCTATCTGCTTAACCTTGAAATACAGTGAACTCTTTGAGGAATACAGGGGACTCTGAGATGCTGTTCTCATAAGCATGCAGGAGCACATAAACTTCAACACTAGGAAATATTCAAGCTGAGAAACATTTAATTAATTTGTGATCCTGATAGACTGAATCACTGAATGAGATTTCAGCCCCTGAGTGTTATAGAGCAGTTTTTACATTAACAAGGAAGCCCACTGGGACTAGAACAGAGATTAAACTGTTTACTATATATTTGCTAGGGGATATGTATCATGCAGCTTCTATCTCTTTAATAGACTGTTCAAACATTCCTCCGTGGCTGCTATTATTTCTTCTAGTTGTTTACCTTGTAGTGTTGAAGAGGCCAAATATCACTGGATTTTTGTTATCACGAGTTTGCAGCAAAAACACATCCTCTGTAAAATTTAAATGCAACATTATTGATAAGAAACTACTTTTCCCAGCCCCAAAAGAGAAACTTCATCGATTGCTAAAAGTATAGTCTTATTTTACTCATTTATTCTATTTAATTTTATACAGATTTTAAAAGCGATCTTTAAAACCAACGCAATACATATAAGAGTAATTGGTGATAGCCAGCTCCATATTTATAGAACTGCATATACACTGGAAACAAAACACTAACAACCACCCTCTGTTAATGAATAAAACAAGAAGAATATTTAACAGGAAGATGTGTTATGTATGGCTTTTTTGGATAGTTTTAGGTCTATTGCAGTCTAGGATATTTACCTAATTCATCAAAATGCGTATCAATTCCGTTTCTCCCAGGCACAGAACAAACTAGCCTGGTTTTGAGGAAAGTGGTCCATTTATTGACGAGCATTCTCTGGCCTCCCATATCATTCTGTGTAGAAAGAAACAAGTGCCAATGGTAATTTGAATGAGTAAGTCTGGAAGCACAAACATCTCTGGTGAATTAATTGTTCATTGTGTCTTTTAATGCCAAAAGCATTCCTTTCCAAACCACATGGCTATTACTAGTACTATTTCTCTGGAGTCAGTTTTCAAGTAGGATTGCACTGATCAAGTCCAGGTCTCATTAAGAGCTGTGGGTTTATAAGAATTTTTTAATTCTATACCACATCCCTGGATAGTTTTAACTATACAGCTGTTGCAAAGCTTTTTTTATTGCTCATTTTTGTAAATTAGATATACTAAGTACATTAGTGAAGTTTAGCTTTGCTGTAAGAGCTCAGTGCAGGGTTAGTTTGATGCATTTGGAAGCTGAAGCCCTGAATCTATCTATAGAGCTGGTACAGCTGGGGCAACTGTTGGGACTTTCAAGAAAAGGGAGCATTTAGTACCACTTAGCAATCAGATTTTTTAACCTTTAGGTAGCATCCTCAAACTATGGCGTTATATTCAGGTAGTCTGTGTAACTGGCTGTTGAAGGCTCTGCAATAGGCTTGCAAAACTCCTCTCACAAACAGCTGTTTTACTCAGAGAAGTAGAAATATGCAGACTAGGTGCCTCTGTGTTGCAAAACCCGTTACAGCTCAGATAAAAATATAGAAGTTGGGAAAAAAGGCCAGTTCCTGAATCACTAGCTATTGTTTGTATTCACTAAATAAACTCTGAATTATATGGCTGTTAATGGCCAGATGATGAAAGACTTGGAGTTTTGGAGCAGTGGAAGAGAAAGGTCTGTGGGATTTCGGGTTAACCCATGGCTAGAGATAAGACTTCCAGGTAGATATATTGCAGACTAGAGGGAACTTAAAATAATCTATGAAGAACATAAGCCAAAGAATTCTACTTCAGATCTTGATATGGGCTGGAATCCAGGAAACCAACTGGCTTTGTGAACATCAATGTCTGAGGCTGCAATTTGGTACTTTGCATACTTCAGATGTTTTTTAGTTTTACATGAGTGGTGAAGGAAGTTTAATAGGTAGTATGCTGGTGAGCATTTGTGACATATACCATATGTGGAGGTGACAGAAGATTTTTAACTTGTGTCTTGCTCTTCGCACAATACTTTCAAGAATCTACCTCCCAGAGTTAGGAGGGGGAATATATATTTTTTTTGAAACAAAATCAAATGTTAAGAAATAACCTTCTCTTTTCTTTCTTTCATCAAACAAGAGTAGTCCCAGTGGGAATGGGAGCACTCCTCTCACCAGTGTAACAGTGGTCAGTTACTAGAAAAGGAATGCACTCAAAATTTATCAGCTGCTCAAAGAGAACCAGTTATGGGAAGCTTGATTCAGGAGATCGTGTGTTAACTGTGCTTCTCTCCACCAGCTGCCTGAGATCTCCCTGTGTGTGGGTCAGGGAGCCAAAAAGAGATGCCATCAACATACCAGGAGCATGGTCTGAGTGGGAAATGGATGATCATGCAGGGCAGTGGAGAGAAGCAAGGTCTTTCCTCATGACTTTTCTGGCAAAACTTAAGTCTGCCTGTGATAATAATTTGCTGGACAATTTGATCATTCTTTCTAGTTTCCTATCTGCACAACTTTTCTTAGTTGCTAAGAAGAGGAATGAGAGATTAAATGAAAACATTAATTGGCTACTATTTATAAAACACTCTAGAGGTTGTTGGCATTGCACCCTTGCTATCATTCTTGCATCAGAGGTTTTCAAAATTTATGAAAACACAGGCGTCCCTGCTCATGCCAGGGGGGTTGGAACTAGATGATTTTTAAGATCCCTTCCAACCCAAACCATTCTATGATTCTATGATTTTGTCAGGGACCTTTGGAGATTGTCTTGTCCAACTGTCCTACTCAAAGTAAGTTACTTTGAACAAGTTGTTCAGTAAATTGCTCAGGCCTGTGTCCAGTGAGGATTTTAACCTCTGCAAGGATTGAGACTCTGGGCAACCTTTGTCAGTGTTCAACCACCCTGGCAGTAAAAAAATGTTTCCTTACATTCTGATTTAATTTAATGTGTTTCAATCTGTGACCATTGCCTCTTACCCTATCCAGCTGTTTGATAGGAAAGCTACTGACCCTGCACAACCTCAATTCAGTCCTCACTGACAGAATAGGAAAGCAAGAGGGAATATCAGAGAGGACTGGTGGCTGGGCTGCTTCTGTCACCTGGAATATGAAGGGACATCATTTTATGTCAGCTGTGGGAACTGCAAGAGGCCCTGGACCTACAGCCAGTCCAAAGGATGATACAGCCCTGATCTGATCTGAGAATGTGGATGGTAAGAGAAGTCCTGTGGGCAACTGCTGTTACTGTTACCACCTCTCTCAGCTAAACTGAACTTCAAATACAGATTTTGGATGACTTGTGAATGTTATTGTGCTCAAGGGTGAGTAGATGTAAGGTTTTCATTCAGACCATCATGCACTAACAGATGACATATTTGCCTGGGGGAGAAGGACCAAAGAAAGGAACACGCTCTCTTTTTCATTTATCTGGGGAGTCAGAGAAAGGACCTTACCGCACATACTCGTCCCACTCTGGTATATATGGCATGAGTGCTCGTCTCAGCCTCTAAAGCTTTTTCAGTAAAGAAGAAATATACTTTGTTATCGTCGTGATCTTCATTGTCAGGAATCATATATGAGCCAACAAATTTTGGTTCTTTAAAAGAAAACAGAAATGAATTGAGTCTAAGTTATTAAAACTTTCTCCTATTTTTTCAGCCCTTAAAAATCAGATGGCAGCAAGCAAAAAATAAAATTAAAAAACAGGATTATGTCAATCAGAGAGCTACCTAAGGGCAACTAGATGATAGAAATAGGGTGTTGATGAAAAATGTCAAGGAAAAAAACGTAGTTTAATTGAATTTACCTCCAAATGGATATATATATTCACAAATAGTATTTTTAAAATTTGTGGTTATACAGATATTGTCTAGTCATCTGAAACACCCGTGGTTCTTTCTTCTTCTCCTTCCCATACCTTTCAATAGGCGCTCATTGTCAGGTTCTGTTCGGAGATGGGCCATGCGATTCGTGGAGCGAAACAGGGCAGCATCTCTTCCCCAGTAGTCACTGTAGAGACCAGTAAAAAGTTCACCACCTGCAAACCATACATGAAAAAAACCAAAATGAAACAATTTGGTAATGTTCTAAACATTAATTTTATTGCATGTGATAGGAACCACAATTTAAACATGGCTCATTAATATTTGATGAGGTAAGAAGGTGAGCTGGTATTGCCTAACAAGCACATGGACATGGACATTGTTCCTACTAGCAGTGTAATATTTACAATTGGAGCAACATGAGGACAAGAATTTTAAATTTCATGAGTCTTGGTCTCATTTTCAAAACTGGCTTAACAAGATAGATTCACACACAGAACGTGAGGGCATTAAATTAACATCTATCCACATCTGCCACAATAACATCCAACAGATTAGGCACCCAAGTTCAAAGATCTCACTGTGGGTCAGTTAGAGCCTTGCTCTAGGGACACTAACCCTTTGTTGGCACTTAAATTTTCATCATTGCAAAGATTCTGACCAGTGGTTTGCTGCTGAGCAGTTCCAGATGTGCCCTGGTCTTGCTAATGAGAAGGAGCCAATTACCTGGTTGAAGAACTGAAAGAGACATGGTGGGTTTGTGAGGAGACATAACAGGAGTCAGAAAGTGGGATGAAAGTGGAGCAAGTTTTCAGAGAATGCAATGCTAAGGATAAGAAGAGTGTTAGCTGCACCAAACTACTGATTTGGGCTACACTGCAGGGTTACAGACAAAGGCTAAACCATACCTGAATCCACAGACCAGAACTCAAACACAGGAGTATTTCCTGAGCACAATTTTGAGATTTGGCTTTGTGCAAAAGATGGTGGGAAAAAAAAAAAAAAAGTCATACTGAAAACACTGGAGGGCGAGATGCAGTTATCTCCCCAGCTGGAGAGATAAGAAGCAGTACCTACTACCTTAGAAGTGATTTCTATAAACAAGAACATGTTTTATTAGGCTGAGGAGGTTTTTCCAGTCAGCCTACTGGAGCTGTTCCACTTCCCCTGGAATAACTACAGTTTGGGAATAATTTTCTGGCCAAGGGGCTTCAGTGTTCACCAGACAGAGAAAAAGGGACTATTTTTCTCTGCTCCAGCAATAACTTGCTTTCATATTGTTAAAATATTCATCACAGAAGCAACAGGACCTCAGATTTCATCTCTCCTGCACAACTGGTGATGAGTATTTCCTGAAAAATTTATGGAAATAGGAACTAGGTATAGGTATAATTGGATTACATATAAGTTTAAAAATCCAGTCGATATATGACCATTCTAAAATTGTGATGCTGGACATATTTTACCTTAGTAAAAGGCCATATTATTAAAGTAAATATATATATATATACACCATGTTAGTAAAATACCAACAATAGTTATACCTTTTATTTATGTATAGACACTATTCCCCTTAGCTGACCAAAAATTAACAATAACATATTTCATATCATTGT